TTAATCCACAAGGACAATCCTGGGTCTAGAATTTGTAGTCTAAAATTACATTTTTTTTTCTTTCCTGCTTGTTGCTGCAGTTACGTTTCACTGCATTCTTTGCTACTTTTTTTCTCTTACTACTTCTGTTAATGCCTTGCTTACAGTCAGTTTTCATTATTATGTAATGCCTTTCCATGTTAGGCGCACTCAGGAAGTTTTAATAGCATAACATATGCTTCAGACGTCTGATTCGAAGATGCTTTATACTGTCTAGTATTTTTACTTCATTTCATACATGATCAGCCATACTTGATTTCATTGTCTCACTACTAATTTTGGCTTTTCGATGTTCCTCTAGAATTACTTTTAGGAGGCGACTGTTTTCACCTATGTATTTTTTGCCATAGCTACTAGGGATGAAATGCATAGAGTTCTTGATCATGTTCTCTCTCTTAGTCTTGACTTGGTAGAGACTTCTCCGTAAAGTGGGGCTACTTCTGAATATTATACTGATGTTGCATGGACCGTAGAATTTCTGAATCGTTTCATGCAAGACCTTTACAAATATCCACTTGAAGTTGTGCTTGCACTTCACTGAATTCATTGAGAACTTCCCGTGTGTATGCTTTTTAAGCTTTTGTAGTACACTTTCGATGTTCTTAGGTCTTCTGGGCGTACGGCCATATCACGCCTCATACGATCACCGAAGTTAGACAAATCCACGCCATTTTCTTTCGCCTACAACAATCTCTTGCAAAACCAAAACGGCAATAGGAAATAAATGACAAGAGCAGGTTTGGATGAAATTGGAAGATTCTTCTCTATTTTGCTTTAAAAATGCAATGCATCATATCTGGATACTGATTTTGGGAAAGGAGGTGAGCCAAGAAACAGTGAGGGTGAGAGAAATAGGAAGAAAAGGGTATGAAAAAGGAGTGAAAAAGAAAGATGTTTACTGAAAAATTAATGATGAAAAGGGAAATCTTGGAAGCCGCAGTGGAATAAAAGATTAAGAAGTAAAAGAAAAGAAGTTTTATAGATAATTATAGGGAAAAATATAGAGAGAAAAAGAATTTATATACAAAAAGGAATTAATATATTTAAACAAAGCAGGAACACACACACACACACACACAAATATATATATATATATACATGCCCAAGTATAGGATTGTTGTATACGGAATAAATTCCAATAACCAACAAATACTATTTTTAAAAGAGTGCTCAATACAGAGTAGAGCAAATATATTCGAAAATTCTAACATAAATATGTTATAAAATCACTACAAAAATAGCCATTTTATTTCAACACTTCTAGTGTTTTATCAAGTGATTGTATTCAACACTATCACTTGATAAGACACCAGAAGTGTCGAAACAAAATGGCTATTTTTGTATTGATTTTATAACATATTTATGTTATAATTTTCGAATAAATAATTATATATATATATATGTGTATATATATATATATATATATATATATATATACACATATACATATATATATATATATATATATATATATATATATATAAAGAATTAATAGTTATAGAATATAATATAACGCTTATAGTATATGCGCTTATAGAAAATGAACATATAGATAAATGAAAATTTATAGAAAAAAAGGAATAGACATTTATAGAAAAAGGAATGAAGATGTATAGACAAAGGAAAGAACACATAGAAACAAATGAATGAACATATATAGGAAAATGGGATGGATATTCGTAGAAAAAAGAATGAACATATAAAGAAAAAAAGGAATTAATATTTATAGAAAAGGAATAGACATTTATAGAAAAGGAATGAAAACCTATAGAAAAAGGAAAGAACATCTAAAATAAAAAAAAGAATGAACATATAAAGAAAAAGAATGAATATTTATAGAGAAAAGGTATATACAGTTATAGAAAATAGAAATACTCTTTATGAGAAAAACGTATGAACAATTGAACAAGAGAAACAAAATCAAAAGTATATACCGAAAAGGAATAAATATTTATAGAAAAAGGAATAGGCATTTATAGAAAAAGGAATCAATTTATGTAGAAAAAGGAATGAATATTTATAGAAAGTTATAGACATTTATAGAAAAAAGGAATGAACATGTATAGAAAAAAGAAAGAACATATTTTGAAAAAGGAAAAACATAGAAAATGACAAGAACATTTATAGAAAAAGCAAAGGATATACATAGAAAAAAACAGCCGACAGAAAGCGGATGTCCCTTGATCTCTCAAAGCAAAGCAGTTTTTACATACACAAGTCAAAGTAGCTGAAACTGGGGTAATAAATAGCACAAAACAGGAACTCTACAAGAACATAGATGACCCAATGAAACCGAAGAACGCTTCCTCTTTACAGTAATTCAGTTCTGTTTTTTTTTTGGGGGGGGTTATCTTGTTTTTAGATTTTGTTCTTTTTTTGTTCTTCCAAAATGTTTCCATGAAGAATTTTGAACAGTGAAAAATAATCTGATAGCAAAAACAACCAATGTATTTACATCAAATTAACCTTTACGTGTACAGAGACATCATATAAGTAAATAGACACCATTATTTGACATTTAATAAAGATATACACAGTGACGGTTGTTCTATTTATTGTAAGAATACAAGCGCACAAATCTGGACACAAGCCGCTTCAAAAGCTATCACTTTGTATCGCATTTCACATTGAATATTGATAAATACCGTTGAAGAAGGAACAATGTCTGACGTTTTCATGGCATAGATTGTCATGTTCCATTAACTGTCAAAATGATGATACTGGTCTTATGAGATGAAATACTTGCTGAAAACAAACACTAACTTGAAAATACACGGCAACATGACAGAAGAAATGCCGAAAATTCGGATGCATCTATTTTGGGTCACCATTTTATAACACAAAAGCGTTTTTAATCTTTCGTTGATTTTTTGTATCTCTTTCCTAATATAGAAATTAATTAAATAGAATACATTTAGCAAATAACAAGCTTCTTATTTCTAAAGAGACAGGCCCATTGACATCCTTAGAGGAATTCAGTGAACGTAGGTTAGTGGTCTGTGTATGACTTAATTTATTAGCTGAATTTTGATGTGAAATTTTCATTGTTTAATGTTCAATTTCTGTGATTAATATTCATCTCTGAATTAAGTGCATTGACAAGGAAGGAGATTATGTCAACCCTGATTGGAACAATTATCCCGATCTCATGATATTAAATTCTTTCCTTGTTATTTTTTTAACATTTTTCGGTCTAATTATGTTCGATTTATTTCCCAATTGTATTTAGTTTCATCCGCCATTAACAATAAATCTTACAAAAATGTTATTAGCGTTTTCAAAATGGCCGTTAAACAAACAGCGTCAGTGTTGTGAAAAGAGACGAGTAGGGATGGAACCGATTCTTGGAGAAAAACCCTTTTCTGATACTAAAAAAAAAATGTAAATGAATTTGGTCAGAAGTTTTGACAATTATGTAGTCCAAAAAGGCCATAACCTCTCAACTTCTTTAGCCCTTAACCCAGATTAACTTTTTAATGACTCACCCAACTATGAAAGCCTTCAATAAGTCGAGAGTTTACTTTTTCTTTTTACGATCCGTTTTATTCTTTCTTTCTTTCTTTTCATTCATTCTTCTTTTCGTTTTACTTTTTCTTTCTTTATTATCTTTGTGTTCTATTTAATTATTTTTTCTTTCTCTCTTTTCTTTCTTTCTCGCTGTCTTTCGGTCTTTTCTTTCTTCTTTATTTCATTTTCCTTTTTCTTTTCATTTATTCTTTCTTTCATTTCATCCTTTCTTGCTATTTCTTTTGTTTTTCTCTTTTTCCCTTTGTTTTCTTTTTTCTTCATTACATTTTTCTTTCTTTTCTTTCTTTCGTTTCTCCCTTTCCGTTTTTCTTTCTTTCTCTCTTGATTTCATTTTCTTCCCTTTCTCGATTTCTTTACTTTTTATTTCGTGTCTTTCTTTCTTTCTTTCTTTCTTTCTTTTCATCCTTTCTTACTATTTCTTTTGTTTCTCTTTTCCTTTATTTTCTTTCTACCTTTCATTTTGCTTTATTTTGATTCCTTCTTTTTATTCTTTCTTTTCATCATTTTTTTCTTTCTCTCTGTTAATTATATTATTTTCCAATCGATCTCTTTTGTTAATGTTCTGTTTATTTATTTTATTTTTTTGTTCTTGTTATCTATAGAATATCTGGGTTATGTTTGCCCACAAATATGAGCGCCTGTGTGTGCGTGCGTGCGATCAAGAATAAAAGAAAGTGTCTGCTTCTATTTCAATTGATTCATATCTGTGACAGTCCGTTTTATCAATCCGTTTATCCTTCTTCTTTTTCTAGCTTACCATTGTCCCTATTCTTTATGTAAACGGGTGAAATTGAATATACCAATGTTCTAGAAAACTTGTCATAGGAACAACGTTTAAAGAGAGAGAGAAGGAACTCGATTAGCCTAAAAAAAGAAAATAAAAGAAAAAGAGATAAAACGTTCAGCTTTAAGCATTCGGAGGAAATATGTCTCGTTGCCCTGAGTACGCTAAATTTGGTCAGTCGGCCAGTAGGTCAAGCCGAACTAAAGAAGTGACGCACCACTCTCGTGTTGCGCGTATCGGACAAGGTGGCCTGATACAAGAACTGCGCCCAAAATATAAAAGCTATATCAATGGGTTGGGCAGTATCAGTTAGAGGGGAGGCGACATTTCTCTCTGATATGTGATTTTACACAGTTGTCATGGGAGGTAAGTGGCAAGGTTTGCTCAGACATTCACCGTAATTACGTTCTATTGAAAGAATTGATTAGATATTTTTAAATTAAAAACAGATAAAATGACTGAGATAATAAACTGGTGCTTTTTGAAAAAAATAATTCACTATTTCAAATCGGTATTACATTTCGGCTTCTCTCTAATGTTTACAGATGAAGAATTATTCCTATCATATAATTGATTATTATGTAGTAGAGCCAGAGGGAGCTAAAAAAAACTCCAAAATTTCACCACCACCCCTTTAGCCTACAAGGTTTTCGGCCATATCACGTTAAACCGCCGTTTCTCGTACGATCACAGTAGTTAAGCAAAGACGAGGCAGGTCAATACCTAGAGGGGTGATCGCTTGAGAATACCAGGTGCTGTAAGCTCGGATGTGCGTGTTGTGAATTTGAAATCAGAGAGCAGAGTTTCAATTCTAGTCACGTTCGTTATAGTCACTTAACCTTGGGAGAGGTATGAATCTGCTACTTCCCCCCGCTATGGGTTAATTAGTAAGATTTCTATCAGTAATTCATTATCATATGAAAAATTCTTGCAATCTAAAAATAATTTCTGGCTTTAAATAACCTGCGAAAGGTTGATAAACCGTAAAGAAACAAAGGTTCGCCTATCATCCAACTCATTCTCCTCCCCGTTTTTTTGGACAGGATTAGAGGTTTATCTCTTGTTTCTTGCTTAAGATTGGATTTCCGATTCCTTCTAAAGTCTTTTCATCCGCTTTAACTCCCAGTAGCTTCTTGCGTCTTAGTTGCATTATTGCCTTGCTTGGGGTGAATTGATTAAAAAAAATGAAACCTACAAAAAGAAAAAAATACCTAGTGGGTATAAATAAAAGCGTCGATTTCAGTTAACTCGTGGACGTGGGTTTAATACCGGACCAGGTAATTAAACTTATATACACGGAGTCAGGTACTCAAAACGTTACCGAATATGACATACACCTGAAGACGACCAAAGTGTAACACGGTCGAAATGTTGTGACTACAATAATAGGGATAAGGGCATAGATGATTATGGTTTGCCATAGCTTCCTTTTCTTTCATATCTGAAAACTGTATTGCTATGGTTGGGAAAGATAATGGAGTAGTTTTGAATTCTTACCCTTCTCTTTAACTGGTTGCCAACCAAAGCTGAAGAACTCCGTATACTCTGCTATTTTGCTCATGTTTGCTGAGTGTAAGATGAGAAACGATGTTAGATGAACAGAAATGGATTCATGCCTTTCCCGAGGGCATTAGTACAAAATGGATGCGAATTTTCATCATTAGAATTAAAATTCGGATCACCGATTCTAGTCCATCCAATTTGGGACTTTCTTTTTGTTGTTGTTTGGGGTGTTAAATATTGATTAACAGACGCCTCAAGAAATTCCATTACAGACTCAGATCGCTGCTCAAACGATCTTTTTTTATATACTAGAATTTACACAACACAGATTCAAGAGCCACTCAAGATATAGAACTACTGTTAAAATGGTAGCTATGAATATATGTGCAACATGAATGATAAAGGGGATGATAGAAAGTTCGGATAGGGAAGATAACGACTGACCTTTAACTTGATCGATTGATTGATTGATTTTTACGGGTTTATCAATACTTTGTGTGTTATTTAAAATGAAACATATTTTGGATTGTAAGAATAATTGTTGTCTTTTGCAAGTGAATATGGGATTAACAATTTTTTTAGAATAACAAGGAATTTTCCTGATGCCAGTCCTTCTATTTAATCCATAGCTGGGGAGAGAGGATGGATTCATATCTTTTCCAAGGGTATTTACGCGTAATTGAATGTAATGGAGCTGACTGGAACTCGGACGTGGCTCTCTGATTTCTCATTCTGAACTGCTATCCATTACACCACCCACACATCCGCCGCTTTCCTTCAAGAGAGTAATATTGCAGTGTTCATCCACAAAGTGGTAGATCCCGAAAAAATGTCTAAATGGAACTTCCTTTTTGCATTAGGAATACGGGGGAAATAAGGAGGATACGACTCTATGGAATCGCATGCCGTTTCATAACTGTAACTAAAGAATTGTATAACTAAAGAATGTATCTACTAAGTCCTGGTATAATTTAATTTGACTTTTGATATTGTCAAACTGTTTCCTTTAGTGTTCTTTTATCTTTGATGCTAAACGTCTGATAACGGATTATGTCCGAAATTTAAGTGGTACTCCACAAGCCGATCAATTTTGAGAATGACACTTCTTAGCGTCTCAAAATCTCGAACGAAATAATTGCACTGCAAAAGTTTTCTTCAAACAGTACTTAGTCATCATAAAACATCCGTCCGTCATAGAATAGCTTTCTGGAACACTCACGAATTTTTTTTCTAAACAGGAAATCTCTCTAAATATAAGTGGATGTATGTATGTATGTCTCAAGTTCTAGGCCAGTTTTGTAGCGAGGGAACTGGAATTTTGCAACGGGTGTTTCACTGAATATAACAGAAAATGAAAAATCCTTGTAAATAATACTGTCATTTTCAAAACATATAATTGTAAAAGACGTTTAAAGATAACAAAAGCATTTTTATAAAACATACAGACCTACACTTAACAAATCAGTCGGAATGTACTGTGCTTTAAATGCTCGCCATGACACTCAACATGACATTACTATTAATTGTACTACAGTATATAATATAAATACAAACTAACAACGAAAATTACCTCCTCCCAATACACAAGCCTGGAAATAGATAAAGAATTGACACAAAGCTCCGGGGGCAATAATCACTAAGGACTGTTTAACTGTACCCACATAAAAGAAAAACTATAACGTCACTAGATAACTGAGTAAAATCTTGCAAGCGTCACATTCAATGAAACATGTATAAATGAATCATATATGTTAATGAATACACATATACCTGTGTTTAATGTGCGACTCGAGTTTCGTTGGTTACCCAAGTCATCAGACACGAGATAAGCTATATCCAACGAAACTCGAGTTGAACATCAAACGTAGGATAGTGATTTTCTAAGCCCGGCTTAGATATGGCACAAGGTCGAAAGTATGGCGCACCCAGTGAGGATCGAGCTCACTACTCAGTCGTAATTGATTTAGCAAGACATGGTTTCTAACCATTACACCACGTCGAGGTGCCCACATCAAACGTAGGTATATGTGTATTTATGAACATATATTTATTAGCTCTGTCTAATCACATTGAGCACTGTGATGTCTACACCTCTTGGCTAAATTTAGTAATTATTTATTTGCTTACCAGCGTATGCACGCCAGCACACGCATATACGGTCGCTAATATCTAGTTATCTCATTTACCTAACCCTATACCTATAAATGAATCATATATATATATATATATATATATATATACACGCGCATGCACGCACACACACACACACACACACACACACACATATATATATATATATATATATATATATATATATATATATATATATATATAGAACGTGTTTATATTTGTGATATCTTTCAGTGTTTGAATACCAGATATTTTTTTTTCGAATGTTTTCTGGTCAAAAGATGTCTCCAATCTGCAGAATTTGATCACTTTTTTTCGAAATACAAATGTGAATTCTTTCCGGCTTTTGCTACCAATATACATATTTCACTATTTTCATTTTTCTCCTTCAGATGTTGACTGCTTTAGGCTTTGCACGTGTCTTTCTTGCTAACGAGAAACTACACACACGCGGCTTGTTTTGCGCCTGAAACGCACTGATTCACAATTGATCTTTTTTCTTTATTTCTGTAGTTTTCTGTCTCTTTTAATTTTTCTAACAAGCATTACATTTCCTTTTTTTTTCTTTGTTCTTTTTTTCTTTTCTTTTTTCTCTGTCTTTCTTAATACTCTTTCTTTAGGTTCTCTTTCTCTCCTTTGCCTCATTCCTTTCATTTGACTTTCTTTCTTGTCTTCATCTATCATCATTCCACTTTTTCTTTCCTAATTCCTTCTTTCTATCTTCCCAGTAAATTTTATTTTACTTTGCCTCCTTTATTTCTTTGCTTTTTTCTTTCTTTTTTCGTCTTCTGTATTTTATATTTTTTTCTGTCGCTTTTTTGCATTTCCCTAAACTTTTTCTTCTTTTTTTCATTTTCTTTCGTGTTTTTATTCCTTTCTTATAAGTCTCTTTCTTCCTTTCGTTCCTTTTTCTTTTCAGTTTTCATCATCTTTCTTTCATTTTTTTCACGTTACTTCTGTCTTCATTGTTATCATTCTTTCGCTTTTTCTTTTTTCTCCTTGTTTCTTTCTTTCTTGTATCACTCTTTTTTAACTTCTTTCTTTTTCTTTTTTCTTTCTTTCTCCTTTCTTTTATTTTCTTTACATTTTTCCCTTCTCTACATACGTTCTTTCCTTTTTTTTTTCTTTTTTCTGTCTTTCCTTCTTTATTTTATCCCCTTTAATTTCTTTCTCTATCTTTTTTCTTTCTTTTCTTTCTTTTGCCTTTCTTTCGTTGTCCTTCCGTTTTTTCCTTCTCTACATCTGTTTATTCAGTCATTCTTTCTTTCATACACCCTTTCTTTCTTTCGCACTTGTATAAGATAAACCAATGTCTTTCAAACCGCTGGGGGAAAAGCATTATACTTTGAAAACATCTGTTATAATTGACCAACCAATATTAAAAAATAAAATAAAAAGTGGAAAACCTAAAAATAAGTTGGCAATACGGCAATAAAATCGTATTGAAACACGTGCACACTGCACCCGCGCCCATGCATGCATCCATATATATACATGCCTGTGTGCGTGTGTAAGTTTTTATGTCCCTTCAGAAACAACCGTGGCATTTTTCATCAAACTTGTTTACAGCTTTGCGACTTTTTGTTATAAATAGCTTATTCCTGTGAACATCTACTCATTAAAATCGGTGTCTTTTGTATTAAACAATGAAGAAAAGCAAACATAAAAAATAATGTGACTTCTCTTTTTACTTGATAGTGACGAATAGAATTGAAATGACGAACTCGGATGGTCACCGGCGAAAGGCGAAGAGGGGAATTTTCTCTGCAGTCTAAATTCTATGTGTTCTCTTTACATTGGTAGAATAAAATTTAAAATATTTTACTTATTGTTTAATTAGTAGGTTTGACTCCGAGACAAATATATCTACAAAGTGAAGCAAGGACTTTAACATTTACTGTGCTGTAGACACTGTTGCAACCTAGAAAATATTACTGAATGAGAAATGACAAAAACGGAGGTTGGAAATGAAATGGTAATCTTTATAACATCAACAAAGTACAATACTTGCCAGTGGTGTAAAGTAGGTAAACCACTGCTAGTGGTGGACTACTTAGACAGCATATTACCCCCACTTACAATAGTGTCCAATGTATTTATGAGGATTCGGACATACCCGTTAGTGTTCA